AGAAGAAAATAGCCAATAGTATGCTTCAATCTGGATTCAAATTCTATAGTTCTTTCTTTGGATGTGGATAGTATTTTCCGTCATGAGGACTTTGGAGATGTCTTAGATCTTTGTATTGCTGAGAAGGGTTAAGTCTATCAATATTAGTCATTGCACAATGTGGCTGTTACTGTGTACAATGTTCTCCTAGTTCTGCTCACTTCAGTCAGCATCAGTCCATACAAGTCTTTCCAGGTTTTTCTGAAGTCAGCCTGTTTATCATTTCTTATAACACAATGGTATTGCATTACATTCATATATCACATCTTGTTCAGCCATTCCCCAATTGATGGGCATCCTCTCAATTTCCAATTCTTGGCCACCACAAAAAGAGCTACTATAAATACTTTTGTAAGTGTAGGTCCTTTTCCTTTTTGTATGATCTCTTTAGGATACAGTCCAGAAAACTGATTCTTCCCCTGAATCACTTATCTATAAATTAAATCCATAAGGATTTTCACAGATTAACAATCAGAATTAACTAAGTCAGATTAGAGAATGAACTACTTAGAGGATACATAATGGACTAATTTTGAGAAGGTTGATTTATATGTCAACAAGGTAAACAAGAAAACTTCAACATAAATATAAACTCCATGAAACAAGGTCCAAGCAAAACAATAATGATTATCAAGATTAACTAAGTTCAAGTCTCCTTGCACCCTAGTAACCCACTCCCAATGTCCATTTAATCAGCAGATTTTGAAGCCCAGATGCCTCCTGTAGCCCTCTGGTGCCAGCAAATATCTTCTCTTGGACATTCTGGAAGAGGTCTGATTCTCAAGACAGCTCTGGAGGAGCTGTTTCTCTGGTTCCAAATCACTTGTAGAAGCTGCCTAGACAATTCTGCTAAAATCTGCCAGTAATAAAACTTTGTACAATTTAGCAGAGTGTCTTAAATTTGGTTCTCCAATCCTGAAACTTCAGAGAATATCGATTTTTATGTGCCACTTGCTGTTTCTTTCTTTACCTACATCCTGTACCTGATATAAGAATGTCAAAAAAATTCATGAGTGTCTGCCTGGTAAAATGAATCCTGTATTTTTAAATTGTTAAACAGATACTTTTAAAATGGGAAAATAGAGTGTTGTTTGGAGGGAAGCATTTTGAAAACTTTAACTCTCTCTGGAAATAGGAGTTGTTCATATGGACTGTTTGTGCCTGATGTGGGTTGGAGCCTTCCCAGCTTGTATTGGTCTGTTCAGCCAGAGGTGGACACACTGTACCTTGACCTCAATATAGTGATGTCATTTTGGTCCTCTTGGAGAAAGAAGGAGCACAGCCAATTAGGGGAGGAAGTACCTTTGGGAATCCAGAGCCTTGAATCTGAGACTTCTGTTCCTCTTCCTGTGTCAGGATCCCCATTTTACAGAAAAGGCAGCTGAGGTTCAGTGTGAGCAGGTGACACCCCTGGGTCACACAGCTGGCAGGGCAGTGCCTGGATTGTAATTCAGTCTCTCCTACCTTCTTCCTCATAGCATAAGGCAGGTCACCCACCCTCTGGTTGATGTCCCTCCCCAGTCAGGGCTTTCTGACTGGTCCTATTCAACCTTTCCTTCAACAAATGACCATATGCTCTCTATGAAGGAGGTATTGAGTGACCTGTCCTGGGTCTGCCCAGCCTACCTAGGAGGGCTACTGGAGGCCCTCTAAGATCTAATCTACCTTCAGGAGTAAATTTTTTGGTTTTTTGTTTGTTTGTTTGTTTTATTTATTTTGGCAATTGGGGTTTAGTGACTTGCCCAGGGTCACACAGCTAGTAAGTGTCAAGCATTGGGTCTGAGGTTGGATTTGAACTGAGGTCCTCCTGACTTCAGGGCCGGTGCTCTATCTACTGCACCACCTACCTGCCCCTAGGAGTAAGTTTATTGAAATATGAGCTCCAGTGTCCCAGGCCACAGCCCCACCTTCACTTCACATTCAAGGTAGCTTCCTCTGCCCCTTTCAAATTTCTCCCACTCCAGGTTTTTCCAGCAGTTGAGGGGAATGGAGTGACTGATCACAGACAATGGCCAGCTCAGTATGGACAAGACAGCTCTGAGGAAAGCCTCCATCCTCAAGTGTATTTCACCCCATGGACAGATACACAGGAATTAAAATTTATTCAAGTACAAGTTCTAGGGGTTGGGAAGGGAGCAGTTGGGTACATTTAGAGGGGTTATGGTGACCCCTCCTGGATCATCCCAGGACCTTAATAAATAAATTAGTAAATAAACCAGTCTTTGGATAGGGGGGCAAGCACATCAGCAGTCCCAGGGAAAGACATAGAGGGTCCCAGCATGGGCATCACAGCCCTTGGGGAGCAGGGTTCTCATTCCTCTTAAAATCTGGACAGGAGCCACATGACCCCTCCAGCACTCAGGGCACCCCTCCCATTGGCTCACTAACACCTGCAAGTTTAACAGATTCCAGCCTTCTGACTGGTCCCACAGGAGACATAACTCAATGACCCACAAGGGTTGATGCTCTGGAACCTTGACTGATTGGTTCAATTGGATACAGGGCCCTGAGCTCAACCCACTGGAGGGTATGTGTATGTGGGAGAGGGGAAGCCCCTGAACCAGTCAGCACAAGGGAGTTGGGAATTAATGGCACACAATGTTCTAAAAGAGAGCCACTAAAGATCATAGATTTAGAGGTGGTAAGGAATTCAGGAGTCATTTTGCCTAACACTCATTTTTACAGAGAAGGAAACTGAGGCACCACTTTCCCCCAGAGGCTTTTGGGTCTAGAAAAGAGAGAATGGAGAGAAAGAAGAGAAGTTAAGTCAGCATCAACTCAGGTAGAACTGAGAGAAGTAGGAGGCGGGGGCTGATCTGAAGAGGAGGGGGGGGGATGCTGCCATTAGGGACATAGCACCCAGTAGAGGGAAGCAGAAGATAATGGGGGGAGAAGACACTTAGCCCAACCTAAAGAGAGAACAGACAACTAGGTCACTTGGGGAGCTGGGAGGCAGGTCTGATGTACTGATCCCAGAAGATGGAGAATCTCTCTCTCTCTCTCTCTCTCTCTCTCTCTCTCTCTCTCTCTCTCTCTCTCTCTCTCTCTCTCTCTCTCTCTCTTTCTCTCTCTTTCCCTCCTTCCCTCTCTCTCTCTCCCTGCTTCTCTCTCAGAATCTGTGCTGTGTTATGGGCATTGGGGAAGGGAAAAGGTCGTCTCATGAGCAGAGAGTTAAAGACACTAGGGGAGAAGAGATCAGAAGAAGATGACAGCCCATCCTCTTGGCTGCCCTGCCTCTGGTCAGGTTGCCTCAGTCTCCAGCCCAGCCATCAACTCTCCCATTCTGTTCACTTAGTAGTGGGGCACCTCCAGTCCATCTCTGTCTCTCTCCCACTGCTGGGCTCTGCTCAGGGAGAGTGAGTCAATGTGCACTCAGTGAACCTCATCACCTAAGGCCATCATCTGACCCCAGAAACCAGGCTCAGAGAGGTACTAAGGCCTGCCCTCAGCCACACAGCCAATTCCCAGCACAGGCTGCCCTGGAACCTGGCTTTCATCTTTGCATCTCCAGGCACCCAGAGGCTCTTTTCACTCAGGACTGGGGGCTGCATCTCCTTCCTCCCTCTGACACTGGGCCTGGCCTAGAGGGAGTGATCCCCAAATGTCTGTGGACTGATCACCCCCCTTCTGCTCTGGGGAGCGTGGATGTGGTGAATGGGGCTCTTCCAGCCAACCAGCCCTAGGCCCCGGTCCAAACCCAGAAGTGGTAAGCCCATCATTGAGAGTGCACTGTGGAGGCCCTGGCCTCTGTTTCAGAGGACCTACAGTATTGTCCATTGTCTGTGGGCTCATCCCATGGTGATACAAATCCAGGAGCTGAACCAGAACTAGTTATGCATAGAAGATGTTTGAAAGCCGATGTCTTGCTTTCTTCCCTGTCTGGTTGGAAGAAATACTAGAATTTATTATACTTCAGAGGAGGAGAGGAGAGATCAACTGCTCACAGAGAGGACCTCAGAAGCCTTGTGGTCCAACTTCCTCATGTTACAGAGAAGGAAACTGAGGCAGGGGGAATGACTTGGGCACCTAGGAGCACAGGTGTAGACAGCTGGAAGGACCTTGGAGGCCAAGGTCTTCATTTTATTCCTGAGGAAACTGAGACCCAGGGACTTCTCCAAGGTCACTTAGGCAGTGAGGATCAGAGGTCAAACTCAAACCCCATACCTCTGACTCCAGAGCCAGTGAATGGATTTCCATTCTCCTCTCCTCTTGCCTCTAGTTGTCTCTGAGCTTCCTTAGGCTGGTCCTCAAAGGGTCACAGTGCTTCCCTGGTTTATATTCAGCATCTTTCCAGCTGGTGGGCTTGCCCACTCTCTGTGCTCTGATCCCCTATCTTAACTAATATTCAGAAGTTCCCCTGTAGTTACTAATGTGGGAAATCCTTTTCCCATTGCTAATCAGGGATTGTCATGGCTTCTAAGGGCTTGTCTCCTTATTTGTGTGATGGCCTGGGCTCTGGACAGTTTGGGAAAGCCTACTGGCAGTTTTTCAGAAAAATGTGGTAGTAGTGATGGTGTTTTTTCATTTAATGAAGATTTTATTTTTTTTAAATTTCCAACAACCTTTTTTTTAAATTCTGAGTTCCAAATTCTCTCCCTCCCTCTAATCCTTCACCCTTACAAATAACAGACAAGCAGTATGGTATCAAGTAGAATAATATTATAAATATACAAAAATGCAGAGTAATACTAGTAACACCAGAAGTCAATGACAATAAAGATGGCATTTCTCCCATCGGAAAATTTTCCCTGGACCACAGGTGGAGAACCCCTGTCCCAAAGAGTCAGCAAAGGACCTCCACTAAGGTGGAGCGACTTGTCCAGGGTCACCCAGCCACTCTTCCCAACTCCAAACCCAGCCCTCTTTGACCCAGACCAGAATAACACAGACAAGGTCAGCTGTTCTCATTAGCAGCACTTTTATTAGTAATAAGAGAGAGCCAAGATTCAAGAATGCTGGGAAGCTGGCTTGATTTGGAGCCTTATTCGAAGCCCAGTGATCTGACTGCAATGTCACCATGAGTTCCCACATAGTTAATTCTTTCTGTGTCAGTGCGATTCAGGAAACTGAACACAAAGCCATCATGCAGCTTTACCACAAAGAATCTCTCGTCAAATGCTATGAAAATCTGAATGGGGAGAGGGAAGAAGTTGAACAGAGAACCCTGGGTTTGGAGATAGGAAAGCCTGGGTTCAAATTCTACCCAGAGATACTTAAACAAGACCCTGCGTGATCTTAGGCAAATCATTTCTCCATTCTGAGCTTCAGTGTCCTATTCTGCAAAAGGAGGGAGTCAGTCCAGATGGTTCTCTGCAGCTCTACATCAGGGTCCTATTACGTGTCATAAGGCACTCTAGTCTTCTGTCATCCTGTTGGGACCACACCCCAGCCCAACTCTCTCCCTTTCTCCCCCTACTCCAGCTGTGGGGGTGCTGGGCTTCTTGCCCCACCCTTTGGAAACCCACTGACCCCTTTCTCCTCTAGCTTTTCATCTTTTCTCCATCAGAGTTTGCTTCCAGGGCTCTTCTGTCGCATGCAAGGAGGGGATGAGATCACCTCTTGGGCCCTTCCCAGCTCTGACACGCTGGGCTGATTCTGGCCTCTTACCTCTGTTCTGGCCCCCCTCTGAAAGGGGAAGTGCTTCATCTTTCTTTCCCTCCCGAAATAGTCACCACGCTTGGTGTTGCAGATGATGACATGGTGACTACCAAGGTAGTTGAAGCGTGCGTTGAAGTGCAGTGCAAAGTTACTATTATCCTCGCCTATATCTATTGAAAAGCTGGGAATTGAGAACACATCTCCATCATTGCCATGGGGCCGAGAGCCTTGGAAACCCACCACTCAGAGAATCCCTGAGCTAGAAGACCACCCCCACCCAAGGGACTCTCACTCAGTGCTGACCTGAAGCACCATGGCTTCTCTTCCTACCCCCACCCTGTTCAACAGGTGACCATTGTACACATTTTGCTACCTCCAGGGCCAGGGAGCTCACCACCTATGCAAATTCTCCATTCCAGGTACTGGGTGGCTCCTGTTAGGAAGTTTTCCCTCATGCTGAGTCATGGCCCTGCCATCTGGGGTTGAGGCAAAACCAGCTGGGTGCTTCTAATCAAGGGTCAAGTGCAAGCAGGTTTGTAAAGGATCCAGCTCTCACCCATGGTTTTCTGTCATCCATCCCATGTCTCACTTACTGCCTGGCATCAGGTAATATGTCTCCCGCTATTCTTATGAATGCTCCTTGTGTCAGGTTCATGTCATAGGCTGCTATTGGCTGAAGAGAGCAAGCACAGCATGGTTAGGGCTGGCTGGCAGCTGAGGGGACCCAGAGCTTCTGGTTGGGCAGGGCCACCCTCCAGGAAGGATCTAGGAAACCAGGCTCTCCTCCAGTCATTACTGCTGAAGTGGGAGTCAGTCCCAGCTCTGTGACCTTGGGGAAACCCCTTCATGTCTCTGGACCTCAGTTTCCCTATCTGTTAAATGAGGAACTAGCCTAGGTGATTGATTCAGTCCATTCCTCATTTTGTAGATCAGGAAAAGGAGGCTGCAAGAAGGAAGAAGGGAGCTGTCCCCAGTCACACAAGTGAGCACAGAGATCGAACTGGAATCCAAGCTTTCTGGGTCCCAGGACCAAGTTCTCTCTGTCCCACTAGATACCTCATCTCCATCTTTGGCTGACATCACATGTACCCTGGCTCATGGGCAAGGATGAAGGAGGAAGGGAGGACAGTGGTGCTACACCAAGGGTAGGAGATAGACTACAGCTCAACTGGAAACTCTCTGGCAGCTTAGGTCAACCTTACCTTGCCTCCCCAATACCTTCAGTCACTGTTCTGCCCTCTTCTTCACTCTCCCAGAGCTGCCTTCATCTCACTTAGCAGGCAAATTAAAAAAAGCCTCCCCAGGAAAGTTTTCAGGAAGAGCTTCCCTCTTCTGCAGAGCCAAGTCCTGGTCCCAGTCTAGGGCAGCAGCCAGCTCTGCCCAGGAGAAGGGGAGTTGGCAAGGGAAGGGAAGTTTCAGAAAGAAAAAGAATCAAGGGTGACCTTGACTGAAACACTTAGGTAAAGGAACTTAGTTTCTCCTGCCCAGGGGTAAAAGGGTAAGGGAACCACGGCAGCAGAGGTGTGTGGTCCCTTCCTGTACCAAATCAATGAAGAAGTCCTTGGGAGCAGGGGGAGGGAAATCCTATGAGCTGGTTTCCTGGAGAAGAGGGAAGTAGTGTATTTGTGAGATCAACTTCGTATTATTTTTAAAGGGGGGGCGGGTCTAGAATTAGGAAGGACCTTGTTCCTGGCCCACCCCTACTGCCATCTCTAGACTTCTCCTTTTCCATCGGAGCCTCCTCAGCCTGGACTCTTTCGGTACCAGCGGGCTGGGTTGGAATTAAGTCTGCAAGGCAGTCATTCATTCTAGAAGTCTGATCCTCTGGCAGAAGATTCATCTCTGCCCCCATTCTCCCTCCGCTCCGGACCTCGTCCCTTTCCCTTCCCTGTCTACTCAAGGAAGGTAATTCCCCCACATCCTATCCCCACCTCCATGCAGATGAAGCCCCTCAGTGCCAGGGGATGCCCTATCCACGGGGACATGCCACGTCCCACTTCCTCCTTGCTCGTCTCTCCCAAGGATTTCTGTGGACTTACCAGTTCGGCAAAGACAATTGGCAAGGGAATGGGGCGTGGAAGGGCCCACTCTTACAAGAACTGGAGAGATAAGGGTCGAGGGGTTCCAGAAGGAGATAAAGGAGTCCCAGCCACACGATGGGAGGGCGGGACATTAGAACATTTCCACTGCCTCTCAAACACGCAGTCTCGAGTCTCCTAGATTCTCTCCAATAGCCGACCCCAGAGAACCCCCCACTTTTGGACTGGCAACATATATACCCCGGACAAGGAGCCCCTGGCACACTCACTTGGGCCATGATTGAGGGTGAGAAATACTCCTTCGATTCTCCTGGTTGTGCTGGGTTTCCGAAGCATGAAGTCCAACTCCTACTCTGAGATGGTAACTCAGGGAGGTGGTGCACCCTTCAAATAGGCAGTCGATCCCGGGGCTTCCTCGAGTCCCCACCTCCGCACTCCTCCAGCCCTCCCCTCTGGCAGTTTCCCCCAATCCGGAGCACAAAAGGGGAAGGGCGTATCTCGGGGGCGCGGGGCCGATTGAGTTTTTGAAGTCTTTCTAGGAGGGGCAGCCAATCCAGGAGGAGACAAGCCTTTGGCCACACACCCCCACTTCAAGCTCCTTCCTTTTCTAGTACTTTCCTCCGCATCCAAACCCCAAAAAATGTCCTTTGGGGGCTGGAGTTGGGGCAAATAGCAGAGAGTAGAGAGATTGGTGGGATCAATGGAAAACTCGTTTCAGAATGAACTGGAATCTGATATTGGAGGAAAGGAGCTGGGACCGTGTGGGGGGGACCGCTAAACCCTGGTCTGGGTGACAGTCAGACCCCTGGCCTTCAGAGTCCATCTGGAGGAGGAAATCCTAATCAGAGGATCTCATAGACCTAAGAAACCATCTGATTTCTTAACAAATGGGAAAACTGAGGTCCCAGGGTCACTTGGGCAGTGAGGAGCTGAGCCAGGAGTTGTACTCAGGTCGTCTGACCCCAAGTCCAGTGCTGCTTCCACCAGGTGCGAGGATAGAGAAGCCTTTGCTTTTCTGTTCCGCCGTCAGAAAGCACTCTCTGTCCCATCCCCATCATGAGGCTGGAGGGAGGCAGGCTGAGGTTCCTCAGAAAGTGATGCAATAACCTCTGACCTTGTACCTCTGTTTCTTTGGGTCTCGTTGTCAGGGAAAGGTCTGTGGATGTCTAAGGGGAGCACCTAGCCTGGTTCTCATTCTTTGGCTGCACAAGGAGGCTCCTTTGGGGTCCCTGCCACTCCCCCCCTTTACATTCCTGCCCATGAGACTCAGTGAAAGCAGAGGTACAATGTTATTCTATGAAGCCAGAGCTGCTAGGAGGCTCCATAGGGCACCTTGCACTGGATTTGAAGTCAGGAAAAGGCTGCTTCAGATACTTAACTAGCTTTCTGACCCTGGACAAGTTTTTGAACTTCTGCGTGACTCAGTTTCCTCCACCCATATAATGAGTGTAATAGTAAGCCTACCTGCCAGAGTTGTTATGAGGATCAAATGTGATAATATTTGTAAAGTGCTTTGCAAACCTTAAAGAGTTATATATCAATGTTATTATTGATCCTTAGGACAACCATATAAAGGAAGCTTGATTAGAATGACCATTAATTTTTTCTCTTTTTTCCTTTTATTTTTTCCCACTTAATAGTATTATATTTTTTCCAATTACATATAAAGATAGTTTTGAATGTTCACTTTTATATGATTTTGAGTTCCAAAATTTTTTTCCCTCCCTCCCCTCTCCCTCCCGAAGAAGGCAAGTAATTTGATATGAGCTGTGGAGGGAATGCTTATCAAAAAGCCAGAAAAGCTTCTAAAGGAGTCATGTGAACTTGCTAAGATGATGGGACTATCAGTTGGGAGTTTTCATATGGCTGCTGCCACCACCCAAGATGTGTCCCACCTGACCCAAGAACTATACCTCCAAGCCTCTGAAGCCTGCTAATGAACAGTTTCCTCTCACAGATGCACCCTTTGAAACCTGGAATATTGATTTCACCCAATTGCCATCTGCCCTTGGTCACGAATATGTTTTGGTTATGGTCTGTATGTTTCCCCAGTGGGTATAAGTATTCCCTTGTAATACTGACACAACTTCTGGGGTAGTACAAATCCTCTTAGGAAAAACTTCCATTCTGGAGGGTTCCTAAGGAAATTCATTGTGCCTATCACTCCCAATCAACAGGAATGGTTGAAAGAGTTAATGGGATACTTAAAACTTCCCTTGCTAAATTCTCTAAACAGCTAAGTATCCCCTGGCCCAAAGCCCTTCCTTTAGCCCTGCTAAGCCTTAGCTCTAGACCATTTGGTCTATACCACTCCTTAGAGAATTTACCTCAAGTAAATGCCAGAGATTTGAGAAAAGTCCAGGGGTTTTCTTTTTTTGTGGTCCACATCCCATAGACATGGTCTCTTCCTTTTAGGGGTTTAGATCCCATTCCCATCATTCTCCCCTCAAACAAATGGGACCCACATTCTTTTGGGGGAAGGGGTAAAGGCCTTGTCTTCTGAAACTGTTTCCTTGCTGGTAAGGGGAATAGAGTTGTCCCTGCCTCAAGGGGGTCCCAAAGAGGATGTTGACTAGAACCCAGCACAGGCTGCATCCAAGGGACAATGGGGGGACATTGGCTGGTACTGTTTGCTAGCACTGTAGGTGAATGACCTGAAGTCTGGAAGACACAAATCTGACAGAAAAGACTGCAGGGCCCAGATACAGGAAGAAGTAAAAGTATAAGAGCCCCATTAAAATCATTTACATTTGACCTGCAGGATTATCTGATCTCCTTACTTTTTCAAAAGTTTAAGTAACACTTTTGCAGTTAGAAGTTTGTTCAATAGTTACACAAATGAATTTGCCAAGAAAGTGACTTCCACTTCAATTATCACAGAAAATCTCCTCCGAAACCAAACTGAAGATGTTTCTGATTTAATTTCAGTTGTTTGGTGGTATCGAATGACTTACATATTCAGGTCAAAACAGCAAGATCTCACACACTTGCATTGATCACTGATAACTTGCTCTGATTATAGAAATTTGCTACAAAAGGTCAAAGCAGAGATAAGATTTAGGGCCCAAATATGACACAATAAAATATTCTTAGCTGTGTTTGGATTCAGATAATTCAGTTTTCCAATCATGCAGTATCACATCCACCTCAGAACCAGACTCAGGAATAGCCAGATGGGCAACATTCCTCTTCAAAGGAACACAATGGGGAAACTGAGCCAGGATTCCCATCTTAGACCCAGGCTAAAATTGTCCTCTTAGATTTTCCCTATATAGATCCCATGAGTATCACATTCTCTCTGAGTAGCTTGTGGCATTTCCCTCAGAGATGGTCGATTATTGATTATCGATGGATTGTTATGATCCATCAGACAACTCAGAATAAAACTATTTATGGTTCTATGACCCTTTACCTCAAACAGCAAGTTTCACCAATCACAGCTTAGGAAAAACTTTTCCAAGATTTACATCTCAAATTTAAATTTGTCCTGGTGTAAAAAGCCATTTGTTAGAGGCCATTTCTACATACTTGCAAATTCTCAGCAAGCTGTAAACCAAACAAGCTTTTTTGCAAGTTTATACATTGAAACAATAACTAACAATAGCCAAATTATTTTACTAGTAACCAAATTATGAAAAGTTGCTTGACATGACTGAGAGAAAAAATTCACCTAATTGAAATTTGAAAGAAACCCATTACTAATCAGGTGACTTCAATTTTGTTAGGTGAATGACCTGAAGTCTGGAAGACACAAATTACTTCAGACAGAGATTCAACATCTCATCATTAACAGTTAAAACTACAACTTTAAAAGAGAGAACTTGCCCAAGTTTGGAGGCTAGCTTCTTTACCTTGATCCATCCCCCTTCCTTCTCTCCCCATGGCTGCCGGTGGCTGGGGAAGGGTGAGCAAGATGTGTTGAACCTGGGTGGTGCTTCCACGTAAAGGTTGCCCCAGGGCCCAAGGCCATTGTCAGTGGGGCCCATGCTACAGCTGCTGTCCCTCCCTCTTCCTTCCTTTCTCCAGGTGGGGGAGAGCAAATTAGAAGGTGAAGGGGGAAGGATGAAACTCTCTTCTCCTATGAAAGGTGTTAACAAAGGTACCCTCTTGACTAAAGGGAAGGGAGTGGGAGAAGGGAGTAAGTAAGCCTCAGGGAACCAAAAAGCACCTGCAGTTTTCCCAATTCCCTAGCACTGAAAGAATCAACAGAATTGGGCATATTCTTATGGATAGGGCATCCCTCCTTGTGCTCTATGCTGGGGAAGGTATACCCAGGTCC